ATGTACCTACAGGCGGCCGATAACAAATAACAATCTTTTTTAAGCACGAAGATAAAAAAAAACACCAGCAGCCTTAGTGAACATTTCCTATTTAGCACAAAAAAAAAGTAAAATTATCTCAAAATTAGCAAAAAATTTTTAATAAAAACTGCGATTTATACAAAAAAATTTTTGTTTATAAACTCCTTTTAGAATATGATATCAATTTTTAGCTTACCTACTCTACTATAATTTTTAAGTTAATATTTCTAGAAAAAATATGCAAATGCTTTAAGTCTCGAGCACTTATTATAACTTATAGCTACGATATAAGTTCAAATGCCCTAAAAAGTAAAACGGCCACAAAATTATCTAAAATATACAACCAAAATAAACCAAATATACCTTTTCTACGCAATAATGCCATAACAAAATACATATATTTATTGATGGGTGGGTGATGGGAAAGTATGGCGGTTTAGCCATCCGAATTTTCAACACATTTTCTTTATTTTAATTAAACTGGTAATAACAATTAAAAAAAAAAAAATAAAACCTACAGACCTACGTACTTATACTGAAAATAAATGTAATTGCGATCTACCTCCAACTGACTAATTAGTTGGGTAGGTATTATTTGTTGAAGTTCCACTCATTTGTAAGACACCACGCCACCAGATACGATATTTTACTAGATATATAATATAAAGAGTCTTTAAAAACGTTATCGCATTCATATTATAAAGAATACGATCGACATAACCTATCTATAGTAAACTATACCATAATTTATTATAATATATATGAAAATTACTTTATAAAGTAAAAACTATTAAAAAAAAATATATTATACGAAAACAATATTTCATAATACAATATGTTTTGAGCTTTCCTAATTTACTCTAAAAGCTCGCACTTACTATTCATTAATATAATATGCAATAAAAAATAATTTAAATGACTAAAAAAATACTAAAAAATGGTTTTAAAAATGAGAAAACATAAAATAATGGAAAATAAAAACTTCACCTTTGAAGCATCTGTTACACAAAACAAATTATGTAGGTACTCGGAACGCATTATCCAAAAAATAATGCAATTTGCATTGAAATGTTGGGCCGGCTCATAACAATGCACATATAAGTATTCCTATTATATAGTAGCACAGAAATGTCAAACTTTTATAAAATCAAATTAAACGTCAAACAATATAAATATTATTAAACAACAAGACCACTACAACTGAACTTCTATTAATTATTTCAATTACTCAGAAATACAAACGCTGTACCGATATATCAGTATATTTTTATACTTGACATTGTAGCAGTTAATTTGCAAACGTCCAATTAATTAAATTCGGTCTTGAGACTCAATTATTCTCATTGATAGACACGCAAAATTGATTTTGTAATGATATATTTCACTTGTTGTTGTTCCTTATTGTTATTAAATACACATGATAACATATTATATAAGATGCAATAGAAATACCTGACCAATGAAATAACTTTTGTTCTAATCAATATTTAATCATTTTTTAACTTTGTCCAGGCCAAAGATTTGTATTGTTATTAAATATGTTTGTATACAATTTATATGCCATATTTTTTTAAATTTATTATAATATAACTGATCCTGTACACTTTGAAAATTTCAACTCCTAAAAAAATGTTGATTGTTCAACTCCTTTTGGGTGTAACACGTTGAAGTATGTGCAACCCAGCTCCGGTAGCTATGATGATGATGATGATGATGATGATGATGATTGATTACAATTTGAAATGTTGATTATTTTATATCTTTAAAAATACCTAAATACATAGAAGTGCCACTGTGCCAACAGGCGTATTGCTTTAATAATAATTATTATTATTATAATCAATCTATTATATTATTGTTGTTCAATAATTATGATTAAAATCAATAGTAAATCTCAAAATCACTGTTTGAGCTCATTCCCGGGTTGAACTCTAATTTACTTTTTAAATTATCCTGTGTTCCTCAGGGATAATGTAACATTCTAATGGTGAAAGAATTTTTGAAATCGGTCCAGTATTTGCTGAGTTTTTTTTGTACTTTTTTGTAATTTTCTATACCCTATAACATTTTTAAAACATTTTGACTTATTTTGAGCTGTTTAAGGACATTTTCAGCTTTCATTTTTTTTAGTTTTTTATTCCATAAATATCAATAATATTTTATTTGTTGGGTAAAAAAGCTTGAAAATTTAATAAAAAGTTCCTAATACAATATTGTTTCAATGAAGGATGAAAAATATTAAAAATCCATGCTTCCAATTTTTTTTTATAAGCATTATTAAAGTTCAAATATGTAAAATTTGCGAATATGTGCAAACTACTTTGAGTTAAAAATTCATATAAAATGTTCTATTAAAAAATTTAAGATTTGAAAATATAATACAAGATTCCTCATAAGTTTGTCTACCTTTATTAAAAAAAAAAAAGAGTCTATTAGCAAAATATCAAATTTTAATGGAAGTATGAAGTTAATATTTTTACAATATTGAATATTCACTCGATTTTTCATGTAGCGATTTTGTTATTTTGTTGTAATTCAAAAACGAATGACTGTAGATACATTAAAATTTCACTGAATGTTTATATTTTTATTTCTATATATTTTGACTCTTTTTGACATTGTCAGTTTTCAATATTTTTGGTTTTTTTCTCTATAAAAATTATAGAGAATTATAATTATTGTCAATAAAATTTTATTTTTTGGGTAGATATAACTGAAAATGTAATACTTATATTTTAATTTCATTTTTGAATACTAAATATTATAAATTATAAATATTATTAAATTCTTTTTGGAACCTGAATTTAACCAATATTAATTATTTTTATTTTTATTTGCCAGGTCTTGCTGTTACATCCTACTTCAGTAGACATACCAGTATACCACACACGATGATGTTTCAGTTTTATTTTAATTTTTAGATGAATTATGAGTACCAATGTAAAATATTAATATTTAAAAATGCTCATAACTCCCTAAAAATTTAAAAATCGTAATAAACCAAAGAGAGAACACTGACAATGTCCTTACCTAAAAGTTTGATAATAGTTTTAAATTCACTCTGATATCAAAACTAACAGTGCACTATTCAAACTGGTGAACGAAAATTTGGTATGTCATATACTTGAAGACATTATTTTTCTTGCGATTGTCATTAGAATAATAATATTATATTATTAGGTATGATATTTTACTTTGAGGTAAATAATTAATTTAATCATAATTTTTAGTTTAATTCATAATTAATTTAGTTATTATAATCGGTACTTATTTCGTATTCAGAAATTTCATTTATTTCTTTTTTCTTTCAATTAATAAAAGTATTATTATATTTTCTACATTGTAAGAAAATATACTTTAGAGTAAAATATTATTGAGCCACTATGAATAAGAGAATAACAGAATTTTGTACCTACTATGGCGATAGAGAAATCGTTCTTAATAATTAAACAATATTTATTTACCTCTGCCAAACATTTTAGTTTAAAAATAAACTGTTCTTCAAATTTCTACGAGGAAAATATCTTACATTTTCTGAAAATATATCTTTTGTGGAAAATGAATTCACAGAATTTATTGTGTCACAGCCCACAGGCATACCTATCCACCAAAGTGCGCAAACGTTTTCTTGGAAACCGTTTTTGAGAGTTCACGACGATTTTATAGACATTTATTATGGGTAAAGGAACATTCTTTCATTAAAAAAAACTATTTTCGTCTTTCTAATGTTTTCTGTCATTTCCGAATTCAATAACGTCAAGTACCTATATAAATATATGTTATATAGAACAATACGTTTTATAGTTTTTATGATAACCGAAATGTGATATTATACCTATCATGTGCCATCATATATTATAATATTATGTTTGGCATCTGTTTACAAACAGTCTCATTACACAACAACAATAACAACAACAACAATATTAGTAGGTTCAATAAAATAATTAAACAGGTACATAAATAGTAAGTAGGTAAATTTCAGTATATAATAGCTTTATATTTATTTTTAATTAAATTTGAATATTTTCTTGACATATAATATTTATTATACTTTACAATATACGTGTGAGCTGCATCACGACTGTGCGCTTATATAGTATATTAATATTATGTCAACGCAAAAAAAAAAATTATATAATATAATTAATAATATTTAATTGAAAAAAAAAATATGCTTTGAATATAATAATATATAATTAAATCGAATTATTAATATAACCCAGTGTCGGAGGAAATAATAATAATAATAATAAAAGAAATAATGAAAAGACACTGGGATTTCGAAAAGGTCAACTAAACTCTACTCGTTATGATAATAATAATAATATAATATAATGAATTCAGGGCTCGGAAGTTCTAGCATTTGAATATTTTTTTGTGAAGTCTTAAAACGTATCCTAGTGAGATACAAATTTTTTCCCGCAGATGATGTCATAAAAGTTTCGAAATTTTATTTTTTTATAATTTTATTATAATGCTTATTCAGTGCTTTCTTACATGAACAATTTGAATTTGAATTTTTTTATTTCATTGCTTATCTCGAATAAGAATGAAGTGTAAAACATTTCGTTGAATTTTATTTGTTTATATTTGCTCATCCAGCATAATATTATCTACAATATTAAAATTAAAATTAATATGGAATTGTATAAAACAGCCGGTAGTAATGGAGCAGCTGGTCCAACTACCTAGTTCCCGAACACCTAAATCTTATATTTTCGGAAATAAAAATTCGAAGATTAATAATAAAGGCAAAAGTTAAAAGTATTTAAAAAAAAAAAATAAGTAAAATTGTAATGGTTTTTCCAAAAAGCTATTTTTGGCTTATTTCTATAAGCATTGCACATTAAGGTGCTAAAAAGTGACTATATAGTGCTTCAACTTCCAACCCCTGAAGAAAATTATAATATTTGAATGAATAAGTTTTTATTATATGTCGTAAAAAATATAATGTTTGTGTTCCTAGCAGACGGCAACTACTCGTCGTCGGCGTTCGGCTTCTCGTCATCGTCGTCGTCGTCATCATTGTCTTCGTCGTTTTCGTCGAAAGTATCGAGATCGAACTCAGTAGCTTCCGGGGTCGTGATCTTAATCCTGATCGAGGACAGCTGTTTAGCAACCACTTCCGAATCATCTTTGTCGTCATCCTGCACCACAGCGCGCGGGCCAAGTCCGTGGAATTCGCACAGGCGGACGTCGGCGTACTTGTAAGTGCGCTTTATGCGCGACGATAGAACGCGAACGTCGATCCGTCTGGTCAGATCGTTGTCCAGTTTCACCTCGGCTGCCTTGCCTGGCGAACGCACTGGGTCCGGTTTGCCGTTAGCCTTGTCCTGCAAGTCCTTCACGTCTGCTGCAACTGCAGGTGCAGCCAATGCCGGATCACCTCCCGAAGATGTATTTGCAGAGCCTGTTGTGTCCTCCTCCCCTGCTGCACCGGAATCTGCAGCACCCGAGGGGCCCATAAGCCCAGGCCTCGCGAGTTCCGGCAACATGTAGGAAGTTTCCGACTGCATCAGCTGCATGCTCATGTACAACTGTAAAAAGTCACACCAACCCCTCTCGTACGCCGTCCACAGTCTCTCGTCCTGGCGCAATTCGTCTAAAGTCAAATTTTTTATCTGCTTGGGCGTGCACTGCGGATTATCCGACCCAGAGAGCCCTGGCGACGTTTTTCTCCACTTGTCGCCGCCGTCGTCTCCCTGCTGGTCGGACATCTACAGTGCATAAAATATACAATAACATATTATACTACGTTCATTTATAATATAATGTGATATAATGTAATGTATGTGACCGTAATGCAGGCGACCAAATAATGATTTTTTTTTTCATGAGTGGCGGTGGGAGGGCTGATTTTAATTTTCTAATTAATTGTCTTTTTTATATTTAGATAATGTAATATTATAAAATATTATTATAAAACTTTGAAAAAAAGGTCATCTAAGGGACATATATGCTCCCTCACAAGTTTGATCACCTGCATGGTTTATACTATATAGGTAATTGTCTATATTACACATATAAATATATAATCGCAGAAAATATCAACCATGGTATACCAACTTCATAATATTATATATCATACTGATATAATACTGCGAGGCAATCAATAATTTAAAAACAGTCACCCTCAGTCAATTTTTGTGATTTTAAAAATGTGTGTACTGTATATTCATTACTTTCAAGTAAATTAGTGAATTGTAATAGGTAGGTAATAAAAAAAACTTAATTTTTAATTTTAGGTTTTTAGGTTTTTTATCAATCTACAGTTTTAATCACTGGATGCTTGTCTAAAAATTTAAATTCGTATTGAATACCAAGTGAAGAGTTTCTGTTACTTATGTATCTTAAGTTATGAATAATTATTTAAAGTTTAAGTGAGCGGTGTCTATGTATTATAGCATTATATTGCAACATTTTTTTCTGACAAACTCACTCAAATATATAAATGTTCTTAAATAAAAAAAGTACTGTTTTCTCTATGCTGGATATATTTAATGTAGGTAAACCGATAGTCTTAAGATATTGTAATCGGCTTTAAAATGTATTATGGGATAGCAATTAAAAAAATAAAAAATATTGTAAAAATTAGGATATTTTTGCAAACATGCTAGGTTCCTTGAACTATATTATTATACATTTTTTAAATCAAAAACTTTGACTGAGAAAACTAATTTACTATCTTAGACAGAGTGACTCACCAAGCATGCTAACTTCCAACTTTTTCATTCCATGTACATTTTAATAACTCAGCAAATGATCAAATTTTGATTTAGATACATCAACATTTTCAAAAAAATCATTTTACTGGAAAAAAGGTTGGTTCTTATTTGAAAAAAGAAATGTTTATAGGACACTATATAAATGGTATGGAAATTTAAATAATTCAAAATATAGTATAACTATACTTATAAATTCCAAAAATCTGAATTGGAAATGTATTATTAAAGAAAACAATGGGATTGAGCATGCTTGGCGAATCACCATTTACAGTGTACATATTATTATTTACATTTTTAACTTATATATTTGATTTCGTAAACTGAAGCCATAATAATATAGTACCTAATTCACTATATTATTTTTAAGCTTTAGACAAGCAGTCTCACCAGTTTACTTTCACATTTTAAATGCTTAAGTAAAGTAGAAAAATATTTGGAATAATGTTTGACATAATAATTGTACATTTACATACCCGAAATAATATTTTGTTTTACTCGAAAATAATATTAAAAATAATGTTATCATTTGAATCTAAAAAGTTACCCAGATAAAAATTATTAAAAATTTGATTTTTTTCTATATAGATCCAACATACGTAATATCATATAATTAAAAAAAAATTAAAATAAATCGAAAAATGGGCGATTAGTACCTACAAACGAATACTTTAAAAAATCGCAGCGTATTGTTTTTTATAAGGTACTTTTAATTAGGTATTATACCTATTATTAACGAGCGATACCGACCTATAATCTAAGTTCAAACGCTACTGGTTAGATTACTAGCTGCAGCAGCACAAGGATTTCGAGCCATCGTGATATTAATTTGAGTATATGTCTGCACGAGTCAACATTTCTGTGTTGAAAATGTACTCAAGCCTTGCCGGTGTTGAGGCGAGTATATATTAAAAATTAAATTTTCAAAATTAAACCTGCTACTCTTTTGATACATTATAATAATATATTATACGCGTCCTGCAGGTAGGTACAAGGAACAAACGAGGAAATTAAAATGTATTATAAATTTAATGGAATGATAAATTAATATAAATGAAATATTATTGGTTTTGAAACATTTACAAAGACGTTAATTAAAAGATAATTAAATCATAAATAAACAAGTTACGATTAATTTATTAAAAAAAAAACAGAAAAACAGAAAAACAAAAAAAATCATAAAAATATTTTAACGTTAATAGGTACTTTAAAAAACTTTAATTTATTAAAAAAAAAACAATTTCATTACTATCATAAGAATGAATCACCAATTTTCTAGTCCGCGCTAAATTGTATAGACAAAAAAAATAAAATGTATGTAATCTATATTAAAATCAACCCATTATATTAATCTATGCTTGGACACCCGACACCGTAGTTATTAATTATCATACAAAATTAGTTGTAATAATATATTATCACAACGCCACTGGATTTTCACAATAAATTATGTAATTTATCGATCAAACAACATAGTGTGTGTAAGTACATAATGTTTCTAATGTGAAAAACACGTTTCCGTAATTCACGATTATGCGATTATTTGTAGGAAATACCTATATTTACCTATATTAACGTATCACGTTTTCAGAATTTCCGCCAAAAGTGTAACTTTTCCTTTGGCTATTTCCACCAACTACCGATTCCACCTTACTGTTTTCACTAAGTATTGTTTACCAATTTCACGTTTTCATCAGAATAATTTCAATAAGTAGTATACCATTAAAATATATTATACACAATAATATTGAGAAAAAAAAATAATGGATAGGTAGGTAGGTATATATAATTAATTTATAGTTATAAGTTTTCTTATTTGTTTGTAAATTTTGTAAAATATACACTTCCAACAAATTCAACGGACGAATGCTTAATAATATTTTTCTCGCAAAATAAAAATAATTTTAATTTTATTCAATGTAGCCTGTGGGTAGGTATGATGTATATTGTATAAATGTTTAACAAAATAACTGTTTTTTTTTATTGTTTTAAACAAACTAACGGATTTTAAAAGTATAGGCATTCATTTAGTGGAAACGTGGAATCTGTGAATATCTCATTTAGCGGGAACATGTATTGGGGGATAAGGAAAGGTACACACTTTTGGTGGAAATGTGTTAAGTATTTTTTTCTATATCCACATACAGATACGATTATTTACTCCAAACAATATCATTGTCTTCTAGATACTTAAAAAATAAAATATATAGGTACAAACTCGAATAATATTAATCTTTGAAAGTTAAATTATGTTTTTTCATTTTTTTACTAGTTATTTTAATAATTTAATGATATTATACATAAAAAAAAATAGTTTCAAAGCTCAGCCCATAAAATAAATATTTAAATAGTTATAAACAACAATTAATGCCCGTAAGCTCAAGTTCATACTTCTACCATAATATGGAATGTTAAAAACTGTTAAAGGGTACCCGCATATTATGTTAAATAAATAATAATTTGAAGATTTTTGAAAAATTAAAATACTATAACAAATTGCTTTGAAAAGAAAAATAATATATTTTGTTCGATTTAAATGTAATAACTCAATTGTCGACCATTAATTTAATATATGTTATTAAATGTATTATTCGAGAATAAAAAGTATGATTTTAAAATTCCAGGAAAAAAAATTAAATTTAAAAACAGCTGCTCAATTGCACAGTTTTATAAGAATGGTTAGCGTGCGGTACCTATACTATTATGGTTACAGTTGAGAAAAAAAAATTGAGAAACAAAACATTTACTTATATATTTTTAGAAATAACAATGTATTATAATCTAGGTATTATATTATTATATTATCTTAAAATATAGGTGTTGAATTTATTGAACAATGATCACTATAGAGTGCTATAAGTGCCATAGACTTATTATATTTTGATACTCGACTGATCAGTTAAATATTATATTAATTGCTTATTAAGTAATATACTTACATCTAGTTAGCGTTGGCGGTCTGTTGAAAATTGAACTGATTCGTTGTGAAGAAGAGTGGAGATCTTCCAAAAACGAAGTGGTGGCAAACGGTGGTCACCGGCTAGAAATAAACAAACAAACGAAAAAAAAAATATATAATTTTGAATTAATAACGGGCGTGTAATAGAAAGTAATATTAAAGACAAACAAATGAAATGAAAATCTAAATCAGATTGTTATAATAATATTATAAACTTATAATATTATTATGAAGATTGTTGACGTGTGAAGCACATTACCTTTGGACCGGAGCAAGAAGACGGCTGACACGCTCTGGATGGCAGTTGTCACACAACTGACTGGTGGTACGCGGCCGATCGCCGGACAGGGCTCAGTTTTTGGTCAATTCTAAATGTTCGGCTGGGTGGCTCGGCGGATTACTTTACTATATATAATGTATATATATTATACGAGTGAGTTGTTGTAGTGCGTACATAGTGTGTGGTTTGTCCGCGGAGGGGAGCGAGGTGGTTAAACAAGACAATCGTACAATATTATATTACACAATCGTGTATTATTGCCGTATCCGTATGATGTTGGTCGGATGGTCCTACCGAACACATTTTTATTTTCCTTTTTATCGACTAAATATCACATGACACGAACGTAATAATGATAAAATATTACGAAAAATTAAATTATATATATTAGGCATGTAAGATAATCTATATAATGGACGACGACAATATATTATATTCAACTAATAGTCTCGACCGATAAACATAATATAATATTAAATCGTATTTTTATTTTTATTTCTACGGTTTTTAGGTGTATTATTATATTATTATTAAAACAGTTGATTTGTAATCTTGCAGGCCACCTTCCATCGAAATCGTTTCTCTTCGTTGTATATGCGAAGTGATTTACACAATTTAATCCCAATTAATGCAAGTAAACTATGGATGAAGTATACTCAATGACGAATTACACTGGAAATCTACAACTGTACGACAGAACAGAGTTATCCGTATAATCAGATAGTTCTTCTGAATTAATTAAAATTTGTATCGGTC